TAGACATTTAAAAAAAAATGTATTTTCTTTCAAGATACAATATTTGAAGAAATCTGGTCTTCACAACTTAACTGAATGGATAGAAATGGTAGAACCGCTAGGAAGTCCTCTTTGGATAAAACTAAGGTAAAACTATATCTGAGGAAATAAAGCTTCTCTCTTTCTGCCTATGTTAAGCTTAATTCTTTAATAAGAGCAAAAAACATATATATTAAAGGTATATTTAAAAGAATCACACTCACAAAAAAGACTATTACTGCATGAAATAAGATCTGACTAAGAAAGGATCTGACTTTACAGACACAGTCACGTTGTATTCCTAGTGGTTATGCAAAGGGATTTTTTGGCTTTTCTGGTTCCTGAGCTAGTTTGTCTTGGTGAGGAAGAGCTTCTGGAAACTTGACTTTGTAAATTTTGCTGTTCAGTTTTGTATATTTTCCTTTCTTACTCGTATCTTTTCAGAAGGGAGATTCATTTGCTTTTGGTAGTAGAGAGAATTAGTTCAGAACTAAATGGTAGAGACTAGTAAGTTGAAAACAGAGGTAAAGTTTCTTAGAAGGAAGCAATAAACTTGATAATTTTAGGTCAGACTGAACATACATGAATTATTTTCTGCTGTTGGTAAACCTGATTGTTATTTATGGTTTTTTTTTACCAGCTAAAATATACTGTGAATTTTGAAGTCGCTTAGAAAAGCAGCCAGTGGTTAGATTGAAATTGTTATAAATGTTTCTCTTAATAAATAAATAAATCCAATGATAAATTAATTCTGGAATAATTTAGCTTACAAGTACATTGTGCAATTGTAAATCCATACATAATTTCCCCCCCAAAAGTCTAGCTTATTTTAGGCTTACCTCTGGGACGGWTGTCAAAAGAAGATATTCACCTTTTTTTTTCTCTGCATCTTGGCTGCAGCCCTCTCCTGCTCTGAGCTTCCAATTTAATTTCTAACAAATCTTTTATTTCCTTTTGCAGAGCAATTGGTAGTTTGAAAAATGTGTTCATGTTTGGCAGTATAAAGTTACAGGCGTTCAGATTAGCATGAGTTTGTATGGAGAAACAGTTAAGAGTAATACTGAGGCAAGCAAACAGAACTACTTGTTTTTGATAAATTTTAATATATTTGGATAAGTAGAGTTATGTTTTTATAGCATGTTTAATTTGTGACCTTTGTACCCTGTCATGCAAATGTCATAAACAGTAATTAAATTTTGCTGCAGGATTAAACAGGAGAAGTGGAGTCTTAACTAAAGAACCACTGAAAAAAATAGGGTTTAAAGAGTAATTCTTTTAGTTGAGAGAAGAAGGTGGAAAATGTGAATTTAATGCTTTAAATATTTTTATTGAGTAGCCTTGAATCTTTTATATAGAGCACAAGGTCGCAAGTCTTTATAACAAGTTGGTCAATCAGACTTTAATGGCTAAATTTTAATCTGTTAAGCTTGTTAGAGAAACAGCGACGCTTGTATCACTCTAGATAAGTTTGTCACAAGTTCGACTGTAACCTCTGTTCTAGTGGTTAATGTCGGCTGTGAAAGCAATTTGGATTTGAATTTAACAGAGTTGTTATGTCCTGCATTTCATTTATTTCACAACTCTGTATTTCTGTGTTTTGTATCTCATTCATCACTTTTTGGGCTGCTTTCTGCAGTTGTGCCTTTTTCTAAAGAGTTTTGATTCAAACTGTAGTAAGGCACGGATCTCATGACTTAGAATACAACCCTTAGATACTGATACTTGTTTGTATGTTGCAGTGAAGTAAAATGATTCTTCTGATTTGTTATGCTAATAAGATCTGACCTCTATGAGGCTCTTACACTGCAGAAATATAAAAATATTCTGTTCCAAAGGCAGGAGATTTCTTGCATGATTTTAGCAGAGGAGTGCGAACAGGAAAATTTAGCCAAAAGGCATTGCAGTGTTATTAAAAGTGTAATATAGATATCTGTCTATATATATCTTAAGATGCACTCTTGGATGCTTTAGTGAARTAGTAAGTGCTAGTACTTCAAAGGCGAAAGATGACTATTTTAAGGCAGCTGGAATATTATTGTTCTAAAACACTTCTCATGATCCATCTCCTGGATTGCACTTAGGAGGCAGTGTGTTTTGCCTTCAGCCTCTTCATCCTGTTCTGCGAGTACTGATTCATTTTGTAAAACATGCGAACGAGCAAAAATGGGAAAGTAAAGAGTTTGCCGTGATGACAGTTCTGTTAATAGAATGGTTAAATAAAAATGGTCCTCCTATGTGTGTCAGAGGAGATTAGGACAAGCAGAAGAAACATAAGCTTTTATCACAAAGACTAGATGAGAGTCTGACAAAATTCTGAAAKGAAAAGCTTGAACGTATTTCTTGACAGGAAAAAGATACTAGATACTATGGTCACAGTATCTGGGGAAAACAGTTACAGTTAAACAGCTAATCAGATTCAAATTTGCAGAAAAAATGAAGTTAGTAGAATTGTTTTTGGAGTGAGCAATATAGTTGAAAGAACAGCTAAACTTCCTAAACATATTTCTTCACTTGTACGTTAAAACTCCTTTCTGTAAGTTCAGTATGTTGCTGTAGTTTGCCTTCCTGTCTGTTGTTATTGTGGTCATTTTTTTTTCCTCTTGRTTTTCATAGTTATTTGGATACTCTGTGCCTCTTGAACTTTCTTTTCTCAGATTCATTTTTTTTTCTTTGTGATCCTTGTTTGCTTAAAACTAGAAAAGATTCACAAATTGTGATTTTTGTATACTTTACTGGCTCCTGGCCTTCCATTTGTGTTTGTTTTGTTTTTCTTTTTTTGAATATCACGTAATAATGAGAGAAGATATTTACAAGTAATTACAGACAGGGTATTATGTAGAGCTCTGGGTCAGTGGATCTGGCCTGCTACATAATGAGATTGGATGTGCYGATCAAAACATTCCTGAGTCACTAAATTAAAATAGCCATTTGCAACAGAAACCCAAGTGAGTAAACTCCAGAAATCTGTAGTGCAGATGGCTGCTGTGCACAGGAGCATGTGGGAGTGGGGGAGATGATCGAAAATAGCTGGCCAGTGTTTTTCTTATACTTTTTATTTTTTCTCTAAATGTATTTCCTTTAGAATTTATTTTGGTTTTGTTATTTCTAGCTATAAATCATGATTACGACTGTTGGAGAAACTTCCTACTGGCAGTTGAGAGATTGGAGAAAATTTTGTTCCTTGCGACTGCTTTTAAGATAAAAGATGGCCTTTGTGTATGTTTTATAAGTATTTATTGTAAAATAAAGACTTCTGACAGTTTTGATCAGGTCTGGGCTGGTATCTTGTTGTATTTGAGCTATTTGAAACTTCCATCCGTGTATCGTTGAATCTTCAGCGACTTCTTTGAACTCCAAACTCTGACATCAGGGCAGTAGTTAATTTTGTTGGTGTAACCATATCTCCACAGTTCATTTGGACTTCTCCATTTGTAGATTTCTAGCCAYGTGGATTCCTAAATTGAGCATCTTGTTTCCCAGATCAACTCTCAAAAGCTTTTGCAACTCAGGTTGCAGAGACAGAATTGTAGGTAATGCTGTAATACCCGTAACTAGCAGGAACTACACCAAGTCTTCGACTAGGTGTGAAGGTACAGTAAAAAAAGTAAAACAAACCAAAAACCCCTTTGCATTTGCTAACTAGAGATTAAAAGTAAGATTTACAGTGACCAATCACAAGATCCTTAAAAATTACAAACAAACAGTAATCGCTTATGTAAGTGACTGTTGGTCGGTGCTGGGTGCCTGGTTGTTGTCCTTGTGTTGGTGCACCGAGATCTCCAGATATGTGAAAGTCTCCTTGTGAATTCAATGGGCAGATTCAAGAATATTTATAATTTTTGCTTTACAAACTCTTGAAAGGATTTTGGGTGATGATTTGCAAGCTAAGAGCTACTCTAAAGTTTATTTTTTCATATGAACTCATGTTTTCGTTCAAACTCTTATGAAGTTTATTGAACAGTAATCTCGTGCATAAATGACGGTGATTAATGACATGGATTAGATTTATCCCGGACCTCTTTAATCAGAAGGATGTTTTAATCCTTCACAGTGATTTTTTCGCTCTGTTTTTCAGCAGCATCATCTAGCATTTTAGAGTTACCTTGTTTATTTTGCCCTTGGTTTTTCCTGTGGTAGGTGATCCAGGTGATGACCGCAGTGGTCTTTGTAACTTGGCCCAGGCTGCAGGAAGAGCAGTGGTTTAGGTCATTGGATTTTCCTATCTTCCTCTGTATATCCTGACGTGGGACTTCCTTGGTGTTTCCTAATATGTGTAATCTGTTTCAGAAGAAGGGAATGCAAATAGAATAAATCTGTGTTTTTCCTGATAGAAGTTTGACCTGGCAAAATGAGTTAATGTTACTCTGGAATTTATGCACRTTATCCACTTTAATGCTGCCATGTAAAGTGGCGTTAAAACTGGCACAGTGCAATCCAGCTACTCCATGTATTCGCAGTGCTCTTTCATCTTAGTGTCAGTGCTGTTAAGATAACTGTGAAGAAAGATATATTGAAATTTAAAAATTTTCTTTCATGAAGGCATCATATGCCTAAACTGAAGCTTTTGGGGATGCTGAGGAGTTACTCAGCTGCTGTAGCCCTGTTCTTTGCCTGGCTCTTGCTGCTTCCTTGCAGTGTGGCAGAATAGGATGGGATCCTGCTTCTCAGGCTCAGTCCACTCTTACTTTAAGCTTCTTTAGCATCTCTCCAACAACGTTGCAGCTCATGAAGACTTCAAAACAAAGCTTCTCTAAGCACCCATATATGTGGCTAGGGTGAAAAAGTCTAAAGTCTTAAACAGGTAACTGTTGCTCTGGACCATGTAAGAACTAAAGTTATCTGTGTGACTCATCCCTGTTTTCTTGTTATTTCATGTCCATCTGTTATCTTTAGCATAGCAAGAAGAAAAGGTTGTAGTAAAATAATATTGGTGGTAATAACTTTGTAACAAGTTTTGATTAGCTTTTTTTCTCTTTTTTCAGTCTTTAGAAGAYCCGGGTTTAGAGCTGTGAGGAAGCTGTTACCACTTACCTTAAAATAGTCCAACTAGATTCCAGGTAAGTAGCATATTTTTGACTTACAGATTAAAAAAAAAAAAAGAAAATTGTACTGTTGCAATGTGCAGAGTTGCACTGTTGGTGCCTCTGTTGTATGGGGCAGTGCTAGGACAGCAGCCTTTTCTTTTCCTGTCCAACTCCCTGCAAAGCTTTGAGTTTCTTCTCTTTCTCTTTCCTGTTATTTCTTATCTGTCCCGTTTGGGGGATTTCTCCATTCTCTGTGTTACTGGCTACGTATAGAAAGACTGGGAAGGATTGATTCAACCCAACTTGTTTGCATTCCAGCTATTTGGATAGAGTGTATCCATTAAGGTTAATGACYCTCCATTGTCCCATGCCTAGTGGGTAAGTATCATCCAGCAGTGGTGGATGGTGGATTTCAGGTCTGTTACAGCTGCATTCCAGTTTGTGGAACCACCGGTAGCAGTCAAATTCCCAGCACTGAAGAGGTATTAAAACTAAAACTGTAGTTGTTTTACCACAACATCCTGCTCTAGGAATATTTTTAATATTATTTAGCTCCCCAAGATTATTATTTATTAAGGTAAACTTCCAAGTATCCTTAGTGCCTAAAGGGAAGGAGCAAATGTCTTAGAATACTCCAGTACAATAACTAGATTTATTGTACCATAGCTATGAATTTAGTTGTTGTGGGATATAAGGCCTTAAGAGCGCATACGATGCATGGCATTTTGGTGTGTCTTGGACAACAAGGTGTTTTTAGCCTTGATTTAAAATAAAAGCAAAAATAATCCCCGAAAAAAAACGTAAAGCAAACGGATGCTGCAGCTGTTTCCTTGTTTGAGAAGGAGATGCTATGGGGTCTGGCGAGCTTGGTATTTTTGCTGAAATGATGTATTCCAGTTAAAGCAGGATGTTTTAGCATATGGGAGGAGTGTCCTTTAAAATAGCATTTTGGTTCCTCATTTTAATGAAGTAGGGTGCAAAAGAGATTCAGAGAAGAGTTCCTGCTAATAGCTTTCTGTTCAGAAGTTGCTTGCCATACTAAGATTAGGTTTTGGGAACTTCTCTGTGACTGGGGGATAGATTTATCAGCGCTGAATGTCTTTAACTCCTGTTAAAAGAAGTCATGCCTCCAGTGAGGAAATTGGAGTGAGCTGCTGGGCCTTTACTACTTGTATGGAAAATAARAGTACCAAATTAATTTGAAATGTGGAAATTGATATTGTTCAGTGTTGGCAAAAGCCTCTGTTCACTGTGTGAATAGTGCAAGAAACCTCCTTCCCGCTGCAGAAATGCACAGGCTGTGGGGGGAAAGCTGAGCCTTTCAAAGGGGACAGGTTTCAGTCCTCCCTGCTTCAGACCACCATCCGTCCTGCTGTCCCGCTCTCCGGTGCTGTCACTCATTGGCATTTTCTGTGAGATTATTTAATTGCTTAGAATAGAGAGAGAACTACCTGTTTTTCTTGGCTGGAATTATATTTGCTGTTTTAATGAGCAGCGGAGCTGGCACAAAGAAAGATGTCACCAATCTCGGGAAACCTTTCAGAGACTTTGCCTTAGCAGGTGTGATTGAAGTAGGCCAGCAGGTTCAAAGTTAAGTATCCTTTTTAGCTTACCAAAAGGAGTCAGACTAGTTTTTCCAAGGTTCTATTTACCATCTGTGTGCTTCAAACATTAAGATTGGTTTCCATATAATATATCAGATTTGATCAAAGTCTTTTACTCAAGATGGTATGAATTATATTTTTTTTTGTTATGCTGCAGTTAAGCTGACTAATGCAGGATATTCTGGTGCACAAATGTTTTAAAAATATGCCATTTAATCCAGGGGATTACTTTTCTTGATAGTCTTCTGAGAGAAACCTCTTCAGGAAGTTCTGCTTGGTTAGGATGTGTAGCAGATGGCTTGTTACTGCTGGATACAACACTTCTAAGCACTGAGCAGCTTTCAGTGTTGTAAATTAGGGCCAGCTGTAAAATAGGAGGAGAGGTAATATTCTGATCCTATTTTAAACTGGAATAACTTCCACCTTGGTTGTCTGTCTTATTTTATCCCATATTTGAAAGGCCAAGGATTACATATTTAGGAATAAGACTTGACCTATTCAGTTCTTCTAAGTAAGATAACTTCCCCGCAGAATTGCCATTACCCTCTTCTCTGCCATTCTTTGGCTACGCTCTACTCTCCATTCCATAACTGTTCTGAAAAATAAACACGAGTAGCTGGTTAGACTCACCTCTGAACTCCAGATAAATTGAACTTTGGAGTCTAAAATATTTGAAGATTGTAGCAGTGTGAAATTTTATTTCTGTGTTTCTCTCTGCTTTTGACAGCAGCCTACACRCCGATAGACATAACCTGAGTGAAACTGAATTCATTTAAAAAATAGTAGTCCAAATTTAACAGTGGTGAGTGTATTACACAGAACCTAGCACATACCTGCAGCATCTACGCCCCGAGGGCATTTTGGTTTGTAATACCTAAATGGAAAGGGACTTTTAACAGGGTAAATGGCAAAAATGTGCCTCATGCTTTCAGACTTGCAGTTTGAGGCAATACCTTCTTTGGAAAAGTTAAACTAGCACATTAAATGTCAACCAGAACGTGTTTCCTTCCTTTAATCCTGACTTTAGATTAATCCCACGGCTCCGTGGGAAGTAGCCAGTCAGCGAGGCAAGGAGGTAGCGAGGAGGAGAGAGACGAGCTGTTCCCGGCAGGCGACTGCTCCCGCTCCCGGCCAGCGGCAGCTCCCGGCCGGCAGCGCCGTGCATGGAGCCTGGGAATGCCGAGGATCCCCGGGGAGCCGTGCGGGCCCAGGCGRGCGGCCCGCGCGATTAGCGGGATTAGCGGCGACGCGGCAGGATCACGGGGCTCTGACCTCGGCAGCGGCACCCAGGGGGCTGGGAGCTGCCCGGCGCTGCCCTGGGAGCTTGGCTGCACGGATGTGCTCTTGGATGTGCTCTGCACAGCTCCCTCTTTCCTGAAGTGTTTTTCCTTTCACTGAGTCGGATAATATCCAAGTGCATCAGTTGCCTTGTGTCTCTGAGCTGTCAATAATTTTCCTCCCATGCAGAAACATTTCAGTAGCTTAATGCTATCCTTGAAAAGAAGCTCTTTCCCTATCCAYGTCTTTACCTCATGGACTTGGGGTTTTTCTTACATTTTGAATTCCTACCCCAAGCAGTAGAGTTTACACTTATTCCTTTCATTATTATTATTAATTTATAGCTTCCTCATTATGTAGCATTGAAGTAAAATGATCAGAGCTACTGATGACTTCTTGAGGGAGATTAATTGTGAATCAGCTAGTTTAGCAGGTATATTCCACTTAACGCTGGGAAGCCCATCCAGTTTAAATGAATTTAAAGGTGGGAAGGCCTAAGGCCAAAATGTTAAGCATGGAGGTGAATAAGCAAAATCTAATGTGTGTAATGTGTATATCCTGGTTGCACTTTAGAAAGCATAGTGGTAGCAAGTGCTGGTAGGAACAAAATCACATCAGCGGTTTGAGATTGTGCCAGTGGTTGTGCTGGACGGATTGTAATGTCAGGATTAACTCATCTTCCTGCACAGAGGTGAAATAATTGATTGATCTGGGTGCTCTCCATTCAGCACCTCTCTCCCGTGCAAGGGTTGGCAGCTCTTCCTGACAGGTTGCCCTGMGTTTACACTCCCATTGGGAGTGTTGGGGATATTGGCACTGTGGGTGGCTGCAGGGAGCCTTTTCTGTGGCATTTGAACCCAGGAGCTTTTCTGCCTTGGACTTGGGCACTTGCCTTCTTGCTCGTTACGTGCTGCCTGGATGGGGCACTTGGATCCAGTACATTCAGCACTCCTGGGCTTGGACACCAGGACAAAAGCATTCCCAGCGTTATTCAGCATCGTTATTATCCCTACAACTTTGCTTTTACATGATCCTGTGTTTTTGTAGTTCTTTGATCTTAACTGTTTTCTCTGGAATTTTCCCTGGAGTGAAGCGATGGCCCAAAGCTGATGCTGTGATAGCAAGTGGGATTGTTTGCTCCGTGCAGTCGAAGTGTGTGCATTTCCTCCTGTGAATTTGCACTTAGAAACGTGCAGCGAAAGAAGCAGCCTCTTAGAGCATTTATCTTAGCTAGCCATTTGAAAGCTAAAGTTATTACGCTAATTGTAGAAGACAAAGGGTTAAATTAGAAAAGTCTGGCACTTTAAATATCTTTTTCAGCGGCTGCGTAATCTGATGTGGGCTAAATGTAATGACATAATCCAAAAATAGCCAGTAGGCTCCTCTCAGATGCTCATCCTCGCTGCAGTTGTGCAGCTCGAGTGGCAAGTGCTAATCTGCTAAGGATGTTAGAGGACATGGCACGTCCCTGCGGACACCTCCCGGCTCCCCRGGCTTGAGCTGAGACCGCGAGGTTAATTCACATTCGAGTAGCATCGTTTAACTAGAATACGTGTTAAATGTTGATCCCCTGCTGTACATGATGAGAGGGGAGATCCGCTCCTGCGACTGGGCAGCCCTTCACTTTTTAACTCATGGGATGCACAGGCCTCATCCTACCGTATTTTGCTTAAAGGATTTTGCTTGACCCAGTGACACAGACAGGATGAGAGACCGGGGCTGTTGGYGACAGGGGAGGTTTCTTGAACATCAGAGTGATGCAGCTTAGCTTATGTTTGGCTTTCAGTGCTGGTGGATGATTGCTCTGAGATATATAGGCCTTCTCCATGCAAAGCAAAAGGGAAAATGAAGCCTCTTAATTTCTCTTCCTCCAGTTGTCCCACAGATAATTCTCCCACCTGAGATAAACAACTTTTTCTTTCCCCCCGAATTGTTTTCTTTTATCTCATTGCTATTGTTGTATACTGATGCACATACACAGAGGGTTCAATATTGTTTGGTGGTTTTTTTTTGTTTGGTTTTAACCAATCTCAGTAATATTTTGTTTTGGATAGCTAAAGTAGCTTTTAAGGGACGGGAGCTGGCAGTGGTGCTTTTGCAGTAAACACTTTGACTCTGTGAACTTCCTCTTCAGTGTAAATATTCGGGGTATTTTGCTATTTGACCATCAGCAGGGAGTTTTGCCCTGGGATCCGAGTGAAGCAGGACATTATCTTGTGCTTGCTTGTTCCTGTAAATAGTCTTTTTTAAGATACATAGCTACTGTACATGGAGTCCATGGGGGCTCTCCCGATGCAGGTTGGACCTTTGGGACATAAAGTTATTCCCATCAGGATAGTGATGTGTTCTGGCAAATCCGGAAAAGCGCGAGATGGGCAGCTCGTACRGTGAGTGAACAAGGCACTTGGCTCCTAGGGTTGCCAGAATGGTGGTTTTGCACAGAGCTTAAAACGAAAGAGGTTGAGTAATTTACTCTAGGTAGCTTATGAAACCTTCGGGCTGGATTTAGATCTTCCCGCTTAGCTCTGTGCAGGTTCAAACAGCCCCGGTGTCAGAACAGCCCCTCTGCTGGCAAGCTGTTCTGCTAGGTATTACCAGTAGTAATTTATCTAAATAAGACTAAGGAAGATGATGAAGGAGCTTCAGGGCTGTAGCTCCTGGAGCTGCTGCCCTGTATAGCACTTATCTGTAGCTAAACCACAGCTGTTGATTGTGGTTTTTTTGAAAGGAATGGAATTGAGTTTTATTTACACTGGTGAGTCRGTGATGCTTGGAGCTGGGCTGAAAATAATAGTTATTTTCACTGATAATTCACTGATTCTGTAACATCGTAAGTTGCACATTATTCAAGTTTTTTTTTCTCAAAGCCCATTTAAACCCAACAAAAACACATTTTTATGTGAAAACTCTGGGTTGAAAGCTGATCTGGTGAATGAGGGTTGTRCTCTGTTTTATTTAAGCACTTCTTAATCTTTTTCTTCGCTTGTTTGTTTGGGGACAGCTCCCTGTTCAGATTGTTAGTGCAAGATGGCAGACCAGAGGCAACGCTCGCTGTCGACCTCTGGAGAATCCTTATACCATGTGCTAGGACTGGACAAGAACGCCACTTCGGATGATATTAAAAAGTCATACAGGTAAAGTTCTGAGGCTCCTTGCCAACTGCCAGGTAGCTCAAAGATCTTTAATGAAGTGTTCGACAAATATAGGTCTTTCTCTGCAGACTGGACTYGAGTTTTGCAAGGTAGCATGTAATGGAAAGAAAATGAAGATACCTGGTTGCTTCTGACTGGAAAAAGAACTGTAAAAATGTGGCTAGTTTTCATACGGAAAAGTTAAAGCTTTTTAATTTTATCTATAGTAAGTTTAATTCTTAAGTACACAGTCTCATTCTGGAGGTTTTTTTATTTCAAGTTGACCAAAGTTTTAAGACAGTGAGATCAACATAAATTCTTCTTTATGTTACACAGCATCAGGTCTGGCTTACAGAGATCATAGCTGTTTGATACTGCTCTGTTGGCCATCAGTTTTAATTCTGGCACAGTGTGGAGTAAAGATGCAAATAAAGATGAAAACTGAGTATCAACAGTGATGATTATTATTATTATTAAATGTATTCAGAATGTCTTGCTCTGTCAGTGGGGGAATTTATATTTAAAAGAGGAGCTTTTACTTTATTTGTTTTAATAAAGGGTCAGACACATAAAATAGCTTCCTGTTTTTCAGTTTAAAAAAATAGCAGTACTGCAGCTGTGCCACATTCCCCCCACATCTGCGGATCTGCAGTTGCCTCTCTACCTTAAGCAGGAGCTCCACTTTTACAAGTGTTTGACTGCTGGCAATTGGCTTAACATGACACTAGGGGTCAGTAGTAGTCTGTACTTGAGGATACTCTTTTTTTTTTTTTTTTTTAATCTTTAACATTTACTGTAACTTTTTCCATTTTAAAGTCTGTTTGTAGCACTCGTGGCAGTTGCATAGTGAAATTTGTGAATAAAAGAGTGCACAGACTCTCCATATTTATCTATATATTCCTAAAAATCTTTTCCTCATTGGGGAAAAACTGTCCAAGATTTTGTTTGGAGTGAGGTCACTACAAAATATAGGGCAAAATATAGTGCTTCATACTTTCCTGAAACTTCCTCTAACGTTTCTGCCTTTGCTGTTTCTTTGCAAAAGGAGGATTAACCAATTTCCACCCCTTGCTCCCCACCCACTGGATGTCAAACATCCTTTGTTGGCTTGTGGGCTGTAGAGTTTGTTACATGTAGGAAAAAGCAAATGAAAAATATTTATCTAGTGTAGCCTGATACCATGCAAGCCATTCCAGAGAAGTTTACATAACTTGTATGTAATTATAAAAACTGTGATTATTTCAGTCCTTGCTGGCACTAACGCATTAGTGGCATCATCTTTACAGCTCCAGAGTGTTTCAAGTGTGCACTCAGTTTATTGTTTGAATACATATRCATTTATATGTATATGTAGGAATGTGTGCCTGCACAGATCCTTATTTTATGCTGAAAGTGTCCAAATACTTTCTTTTTACCTCGAAACTGTCTTGTGTAAACAGCTGTGCAGGCTCTCAGAGTATTTCTCAAATGTGTTAGTTCTCRCCATAACTCTTGGTGGGGCAAATACCTTTGTGTGCACTTGTTCCCAGAATGAAAACGGAAACTATTTGTAGTTTGTGTAGATGGAAAGCTATTTGTATAGAATTCTGTAGCATTTTTCTACATAGGAACACAAAGGTCTCGAACTTCAAAAAGGCATTTTTTTAGTACTTTCGTTTAGAAGGTGCTTGGTCAGTTATTTCTACTCACTTCCTTTATTACCTGGACGATGCCCAAACTCACAAATTTATCAACACTTAATCTGAACTGTCGTGCTCTGTTCAGAGACCTCAAGGGGACTGTAAGCTGCTGTCATTTAGTTGCAAGAGATGTAAAGTGATTAGGGAGGTACACTGTGATTTCCTGGTATCTCGAAACTCTGAAAGCTTGTTCTATTTTAGCAAACCTTTAACTGAAAAGTGGTCTGTTCCTGCACAGGAATTGGTGAATTAACCACAAGTTATTGTCTATTCTATTTTTACGTTCAGATACTGCAGATTAGCTGTGGCAACTAGCTTATATTTACCCTTTGATGATGTGTCTTTTTCTTTTTTTTGTTAGGTTGGTCCTCACTTTGGTGGAAATAAAACTTATGCTTAAGTAAAACCTTAAGTAAAGTAATGGAATAAATTAAAAACAAAACAAAAATGGCTACAAAACAATATGGGAACCCAAATTCCASTTTTAACCCATAACGATCCTTCTTTTTCCTTCTTCAGGAAGCTTGCACTGAAATACCATCCTGATAAGAATCCTGATAATCCAGAGGCAGCAGAAAAATTTAAAGAGATCAATAATGCACACGCAATATTGACTGATGCCACGAAGAGAAACATTTATGATAAGTATGGATCTCTGGGTCTGTATGTAGCAGAGCAGTTTGGAGAAGAAAATGTGAACACGTACTTTGTCCTATCCAGCTGGTGGGCAAAGGTAAATAAAAGTGCCAACAAGTTATTCTGGGGTGGCCGATAAAACTTTTAGAAGAGCTGCATTTGAAAATTGCATGTTTGTGTTTATTCTTAGGAAGTGCCAAATGTGTGGTACCTTGTAACTTAACCTTCTGTARCTGCAATCTCTAGTTCAGAAGTAGTTTTCTATGGTCTCTCAATGATATAAACCTGAATAATCTCAACAGTGGCATTAAGGGCTTGGGTCCTTCTAGTGGGTTTAAAACAGTGAGGGTTTGAGGAGGGCGCTCTGCGGAAACGTCTGCCGAATGGTCTTGCAAGAAGACTCCTGACTGCACACGTGAGCCCACGCACAACATCCTGTAAAGAACAGGCCAACGAGGTGTCTCACACTTGCTCTGTGAAGTCACAGAATCCAGATTAATTGTTCACTAGCCCAGCCTTGGTTTTGGTGCGGCAGAAACAGACCTGAGTGWCACTTCCATAGCAAATGTCAGGGCAAGCACATGTTTCCTCAGAAATACTTTGCATTTTCTTTTTGTGTGAATTTAATACTACTTATAGTTACTATCAATTCCTCAACAATGCCGAATAATTATTATATTTTACTGGAGTSATGGCATTTTTAATCATAATATGCTTGTATCACTTTTTTTTTTTTTTAAATTACTACTTTTATTCAAAAATGCAAGCAGGCTATAGACTGCGTTTCTCACACTCAAGCTTTGCATTTCAGAGTTCATTTTTTCTTCCTGCTGCCAGCATTGCTTCTCTCTTGCCTTTCTGGTGGCAATAGTTGTATCACCAGACTTTATTTATTTCAAAAAATCATGYAGTGACTCAAGTGAATATTTTAATTTTGCCGTTTGCCAGTACGACTGTCGGGCCCACTGATGGCCTTGGCTTGTTTTGAGGTGGCTGCCCTGTGTGTTGGTTCCACTGTAGCCCCGGTGCATTTACCTTCAATATGGGCTTTGCAGCCTTGCCTGCAACCCTCACTGAATCCAAGTGCGTGCTTCCATAGCTGTACTATAATCTCTGTTTCCAGAGCTAGTGTAAATCCAGGCCTATCAGTGCAAGCTGYGTTCTCCCCCACATCTTTGTTTCAGTACAGATATGCATCTTGGATGGGTATCTTGTTTTATGGGTTTTGCATATGTAGCAGAAAACASAGGTCATTCTAAACCTTGTTTGTAGGATTTTTTTCAGGTGAACCAGTGAACCTCAGGGAATCGATGTCCGCTTCGGTGTGAAATGATCCTAGCCACAGCCAGTTTTGCATGTTTTCCTGTTCAATCACCAGCATATATCTCAAAACTCGTAGGCTTGTAGCCAAGAAGCTGCCTTTCCATTGCTTTAATTTTCATCCCTGGTTTCCATATCTGATTGTCACCAGCTCAGTGGTTACAGTGTGATAGCTGTAGGTTACAAATGTTTTTTTTCTCCTGCCGTCTGCAGGCCTTGTTTGTCTTCTGTGGGCTCATCACGGGCTGCTATTGCTGCTGCTGTCTGTGCTGCTGCTGTAATTGTTGCTGCGGGAAGTGTAAACCTAAACCCCCCGAAGGCGAAGAGCAGGAGTACTACGTCTCTCCAGAGGACTTGGAGGCACAGTTGCAGTCAGATGAAAGGGGTAGGTGGAAAAGCTGGGGGGTTCCTGGACTTACCATAAGGACTTACTCTGCCTTAGTGCTGAGCTCTCTGCGGGGCTCTGCTTGCCTTAGAGGTGAGCTCAGACCTCCAGTGGTGCCTGTGCGTGGGAGGGCGAACGCTTATGACACCAGTCTCAGTTGCTCTGGGTAACTCAACCACCAGAAACGTGGTTTTTAAAGAGGGGTGTAAAATTTTATTGCCAAATGGTTGCTTACCAAGCCATGGGGCACTGTGTTTTTCCTTAGCACGCTGACCCTTTCGTCTTCCCTTGCAGAGGCCTCGGAAACACCTATTGTGATACAGCCAGCATCAGCCACAGAGACAACCCAGCTCACAGCCGACTCTCACCCCAGCTACCACACCGATGGATTTAATTAAGTTAAGAAAATACTGTCATTAGAATGGATAAGTAAATACATGGCCAACTCGACACTAGAATCATGAACATTAGAAGTAGAGATGGGGAGGGGGAAAATTTCTGCCACAGTAAGAAGGCAGCTTTCCAACCTGCCGAAAATATTTTGTAATCCCTTCAGCCTTTTGTCACCTTCAGTGTCGTATCTTGATGATACGTGAAGTGCTGTAGCATGCAGTATTTAAAGCAGTTTATCTATGACCTTATTTGTTTCCTTTCCTTTTTCTTTCTTCCTTTTTTTTTTTTATTAGCATGTATGGAGTTATGTTAAATGTCTGTGGTGTAATGTATTGAGTTGTCACAAAATAAGCGTGATGGAGACATTCTGCATTTTAAGCAGTGGTATTGGCCTAAAAATGAGATTTTGAAAAAGAAAATATTTCACAGAAGCCACCATGCTTCCATACAACTGAGCTGTTGAAAACCTTTAAAAGTTCATGTATTTTTCATGTGAATGCAACAAATCAAATCTTATTTGTCCTTCTTTGCCTGCATTGTTATCTAAGCAAGTTTACAAAGCAAGAACCAAAAATGCCAGTGCTGCAGAGAGAGATTTCTATTTAATGCTGGTTTTCAGCTTAAATAAATCTATCTTAAAAGATAAAAGAGAGAGTTTCCGATCTTTGAAGAGTAAATTGATGAACAGCTGTTTATGCCCAAGGGGATCTTCAGTAACAGTGAACCACAAATGTTAACTTGCCACAAAATCGAATGTAAATAGGTTGATTTGGTGGTCGTCATGGTGGACTTTGAAGTTCAAGCACAATTCTGTTTTGTTTTGACTTTCTTTTTCCTGAAATTTCTCATGAACCTCTTTGTGGAATACTTAAATAGCTTTTTAAGAACAAAACACCTTTCTTTGTGTTTATACTGTATAATTTGCACATAGTCTTGTGTTTAGACTTGTTTACATCAGTGTTTTTCTGTTCTTCAGAAAAACTGTGGGAAAACGATTGAAAAGTTTCCTGTACTTTTTTTGTGACCAAACCATTTTTGAATACTGCTCTTGAAACTGTGGATTATTGAGATTTATGACAACATTTTAGTCAGCTGGTGAGTTGCTGGTATATTTTGTTGTTAATAATCTTGCTTTAGACAATATTGAGTCAGGAGCTAGCATAGCTACCAGTGAGTATACACATGGCACTTTTAGCACTTATTTACAGCCTCTTCAGTTCTGATCTTCATGGTTTTATATCACACTGCCTCCACTGTCCTTTTAATCCCCATCTCCCCTTTTCATTTTTCACCTGTTTCTCTTGAGGAGTAATTTAATTTCTTCTATCCAGTGTTTTCTTTTGAAGGTCTCTTATGCTGCTTTTTTTTTTTTCTTTTATGAGGCCCAGTTATTGTTTTTGCATGGGTTAAAGCACTGTCGGTTTATAGAAGACCACCTGAAAATGAAGGGAAGTCTCCTGCATGAGCAGGGCAAAGCACACTGCAATTTGGTTTGTAAAAGGAATGATTTTTCTGGACATTGTCCAGGTTAAACAGGGAGATGGGAATATGAAAATCTGTTTGAGTGTGTTTCATTCTGTCTTTCCGTGGGCTGAAAATGATAGGGCACGTATAGTCTGACATGAAACCCTGTTAAACTGTCCAGGTAAAATAAAAGGTCTTAAAGCAGTCTAAACACTAGGTAAGAGATGGTCACAATGTCAGACTTCCCCATTGCAGTTGTTACAAGCAGATTTATTGCCTGCATGTGAGCTTATTGCAGATAGATATGCCTTTGATGAGATATTAGGCTCCAAAATATCCCGCCAAAACTTTTGATTAATTAATGTGACTACGTTTAAGAAACAGACCAACAACATTCAGGTTTATTGGTTTACTTTTAAACTCCTGTATCAGGCAAAACTGTCTTGGGTGGCTTTGAAGACAGTCATATGATTTGACTTGAGGCCCTTAATAACCAAAGTTTTTAACTCCTTGGAATGAAATTTAATTTTTTTAGCTACAAAAATAATGTTTCATGGTCTCTCCATGTACATTTTATCTAAAGCCTGTTCCATGCAGTCTTTATCCCCTAAAAACTCAGTGGTCAAAATTGCCCTAACAATCCATGCAAATCAATCAATGTTCATGGTTTAAAAAAAAAAAAGAAAAAAAAAAAAAGAAATAAAACAAGTCATAGCTTCTTTCTGGGGCTTTGTAAATCAGCATAGTTGATGAGAGTGACTCAGTGCTGTTTCCTGCTGTTCTGTTGTCTATAAAACTCTTCCGTTTCCACGTTTTGGTCTGGATGTGCAATACAAAAGGCCAGTTGTTGCTCTGCTGTGGAGCAACCGGGACGTCTAATGTCAGAGTTGATTGTTGGTGTTAATGCCAAATAAGGTTCTGTTTCTTCATCACCCCGGGGTCCTTCTGTCAACTCTTCTAGTCCAGTGGAGATCCCGGCTTGGAACCTGAGCACATTAGGGACTGGCATGACCTTCATTGGGGCCACGGGGAGAGTCACTCTGGCTCCTTCCCCTGAAGACGTCTGTGTGCGAGCTGATAGCAGACCTGAAATGTGCAGAGCAAATGAATTTAGCAAGGCAGGAATTTAAAAGATCAGTATCTGTTCAGCTGTGTGGCTGTGCGAATATTGTTTACGCCCATATGATGTTGGATGCTCCAAGGGAAACTACTCTGAGATCTCCATTTCAAGGAATGAAGGAGGAAAAATGTGAATTAGTATTTTTTGAAACTACTAAATTTGCCTGGATTAGTCTTTAAACTCTGAGTTTGATTACTGCGTATTAATTTCTTGATTTCTCTCTTTCCTGACTTCTCAATCTGTGTAAGAAATAATTATTTAAACACTATTTCCTTAAAACAATAATTGTGCAATCAGAAGACACATAGTTAAGTTCCCRCTTTTTTCTTCTGTCGTAAGTAAGGTACCTGTGCACTGTGCGGTTGCACGAGTTGCACCTCTGTCTTTGTAAAACGGCTAAATTGAATCCCAGAGAATGTAAAAAATGCATTAGAAATAATGGGAAATAATCCAGTGCTTATGGATCTCTGCATCTCTGAGCTGAAGCGTATAGAGCTGCCCTGTCCCTGCCAGAGCCGAAAAGCACAACTTTAAAGGCACCAAAGCCTGGGTGGAAATACTTGTTACTGGCTTATATGCAGAATGTTTCCTTCCAAATTTACACCTGAGCACTGTTGATCTCTATTTCGTGTATTGCCAGAATTAAAACCTGAGCTCTTTGGATTGTTTTGTTTTTAAAGTCATTTAAAGTTGTTTTARAGTCATTTTCACACGTTACTCAAGGCTTCTGTGTCAGTAGCCTGGTAGCTTGTAGTTCCTTGTTATTAGGAGCAACGTATGGGGAATCTGATTGGAAAGTTCCACAGACTGATATCAAGGACCATTGATTTTATCCCAAAGATTGGTTGTACGAAGAGCCCTGGTGGGTTAAATAAGGAAAAGCTGCTGCYTCGTTTCGGGGAGGGTTTAGGTCCTATCTTTCCTGAGGGCAGCAGAGCTCTTGGGGGTCACTGGACTYGCTGTGCTCTGTCCTGCTGCGTGTGGGGACGTCCCCAGACCCGATGCAGTGCAACAAAGAATTCAACACTTGAAGTGGACGCAGGGGGGTCGCACCTGCTCAATGCCAGTTTCTTTTTTGTTAGTAATATATGTAGGAAGTTCTTAACTATTTATCTGTATATAAATTTGTTTCTGTACTCATCACTGGCGTCAGATACTGTGTAGATTTCTGCTGATTCCATGCAGTGATGTTTTTGGAGGCACATTATCTTTTGAGTCTTAATTTTAGATCTGTAGTCTTTTTAAACTGCTTTAGATATTAGTGCTCATAGTGTTCTTGAAAACGTGATGCTCTTGGAATTTATATGTACACGGCCTACAGTTCGATTAGAAACACCCGCTTAGGAGGATGGCTTTAACGCGGTACTAAGAAATACTGCAACAGCGCTGGGGTAGGGGTGGCTACAGTTCTGCAGACCCTTGACATGGGAGCACATACGCGTTGCAAGTAGAGATGACCAGGACAGGAACCCAAGAGGAAACACATTCCTGTTAAATGGTTGGTTACACGGTGTGGAGGGAGGTGAAGATGCTTTTGGGGATGCCAGTCTTGGAGCATTCGTAATTACGCGATCCATAAGAGAGGTACCCGTTTTCTTAACTAGTTTGTGCCCCCCGTCCGGTGCCCTTCAGTGTTCTTGGCATTTCCAAGCACTTTAGGAAATGCGTTTGTGCTGCAGGTCTTCCTACCCAGTGCAACTGGATATTGGTCTAATGTTTAGCAGGACATTCTTGCTAGGTAGTCGGGTGGGCTTTTGCCACTTGSCAGCCCCTGCCTCATGATGTTAATAATTCTGGATTCTGTTTAAATCTGCATTAATCTTAGRATCAGAGCACTGAAACTTAATACCCCTCCATTTAAATGTTTATAGTGTACGGTTGATATAAACTTAACTTGCTTTATCATTCGATGCCGCTTCTCTGTACTACAGTGGAAATCATCTAGTTTGCAGTATATCATTATGCCAACAACTGCTTAAAATACCTTGAAAGAAATGTAATTGATAGTTAACTAAATGGCAGGTAATTTGTCAGTGTTCGAGAGCTATGGTCTGCTCTGTGTACTGTATTTGGAGATGGAAGTGCTGAGGCTCTGCACGCCTGAAATCCCCGTTTCGTTCTTCGAAGGTGCTTTCTCTACAGGCAGCAGCTGCAAAGGGAAGCTTTCTGTTGATTGTGTTTGCACAAGCCAGTCTCCATAAACTTTCTTTAGAAAATAAAATGCCAATGTTGTTTGTACAGTTATTTTGTTGTTAGAAGGAGCGATGCTGGGAATTATTGGCTTCTATATAAATGTGTAGAGGAAGCTCTTACATGGCCATCCCTTCTTGAGTGCTGTTGTCTTCTCTGCTCCCTTTCCCCCACAACCAGCAACGTGGGTGCATTCTTGTAGTTTGTAAACGGTTGCTTATCATGTCCTGTGCACAGCAGTGGCTTCCAAAAACTGTGATGACCTCCCTGCTTCCTGCCAGCTGCCCTTGGCCCCATCCCATGAGGATGGAGCTGGGACTTACCTGCTCCAGAGGCAAGAAACAGATCCCAACCATAGCAAGGAGGGGAAGGGCAGTCTCTGGGATAACTGGGGCTTGCGTGGGCTGCCATGTGGGGGGGATATGCTCGGTGTGCCGATCTCCACAGGTACCAGAGAATACGTAGCTATGGTTTTTTCCTCTCTTGGTTTTCACCACTTTGTGCTCTGCAAGGTGGGACTTCACAAAGCAAGGTCCAAACCTGGGCTGTAGGTTTTGGATTGCAGCATCATGTGTGTGTATGTATGTATATATGCACATATGTATATATTTATACAACAGGTGTGCACCTCGTACTTGCTGCTGTTTTTTTCTTTGGTGGTAAAACATGAAATTTGGCTCAAAGTGCTTCTGTGAACTCTCAGACGGAAAAGCCGACGGTGTGAATTTTGTGTGTCCAGAATTGTGCTTTCTCCATTGAGCTGCAGGAAAAAAAACAAACACGATCTGTCGGGCTGATGAAGGAAACGGTGGAAGGAGCCTGTTGTATAAATAAATAGGTAGTACTAGTGAGAGAGCTGTGCTGTTGACAGGGAAAATCAGTCTTCTACTCCAGTGAACTACTGAAGTCTTCCCTCCTTGCTGGTGAGAGTTTAAACTTGAATCTTATGATGCATTTGCACAGTCTGGTCCAGTTATTCGGTTTATAGTGCAGGCTGGTTGGATTCGTGAGGCTTGGAGTTATTGCAAGTCATAAACCTCAAGTTAGCTGATGGTCTGCATAAAGGCAAAAAGGTTGTGGCCAACAAACGTGTATGTACCACCAAATTACTTCTAGTCATATTGGGTAGAGAATGCAGCTGGCCCTAGTTGGGCCCTATGTTCCAGGAGCTGTTGCCTAACATACAAAACACACGGGGTGTTTCTGCTTACTGGCAATCAGCAGAACCGGGGAAACATACGGGGAATTCCTTTTATTACTTATGTGTTTGACGTTCTGTTGGTATCTGTCGCYGTAGATGAACTCTGAGGTTCAACCTCTTGCCGTTTCCCTGTTGGGATGTGTGTCACCTAAGGCAGTTGCCGTCCTTCCTTCCTTCCTCCCTCCATCCCCTCCTTCCTTCCACAACATCCCCCTTCTCCCGCGACGCGGGGCTGGGCGCGGGTTGTTTGGT